TATTTAAATTTATTTAAATTTATTTTTTAAAGATTTTTAAGTAATCTCTACAACCAAGGTGGGGCTCAAACCCACAATCCTGAGATCAAGAGTCACATGCTCTACCAACTGAGCCAGCCAGGTACCCCTGGATTGGAAATTTAAAATGTTGGTCCTTTATTATAAATAGTGAAATTGCAGCACTGCTCTATGGCCCGAGAGTTGGACATGCTTCCTGCCCTGCAGAGCTCAGGTAATGATGTCAGCCAGAGCTGACATAAGGTCTATTTGAATTGAGCAAACATGGGCATACAGACCTGATATACATCTGAAAACGATTCAAAAACATGTAAAGACATTCATTCACTTGTTTATTCACCTGGCATTCACTGGGTGCCCGCTATGTGCCAAGCACTATACTAAGCACTTGGGATACAGCAGTGAACAAGTTAGACAAAGCCCTCACCCTTCTGGAGCTCATATCTAGCAAGACAGACTCTACACAAGTTCACTAAATTAACTAATAAAATTATCTCAAAGAGTGCTAAGTGCTAGGAGGGAAGTAAGAGGGATGGGATAGGGCGTGACTGCAAGATGGGTGCTGCTCGTTTATGCGGTGGTCAGAGGATGGGCATGAGCCAGTCACACACTGACTGAAGGGAACAGCATTCTGCGTAGCGAGAACAGTCAGCATAATGGTCCTTAGGTGGGAACGAGATTGGCTTGTGTGGGTAATAGGAAGGCCAGTGTGGCTGGAGTAGAGGAAACAAGGGGAGAGTAGTAGTAGAAGTTGATGGGGTAGGAAAGAGCTAGATCATGTTGCTCAGAAGGAGTTGGGATTTTATTCTAAGCGTACCGTAGTGTTCAAGCAGGGGATCGAGGCAATAGGATTTGGGTTTGTGAAAGATCTCTCTATTGTGTGGAGAATGGACTGAAGAGAGGCAACAGGAGACTCTAGAAGACCAATCTGTTGCTGCAGATATCCAGTTGAGAGAAGATGGTGACTTGAATGAGGTGGTGGGAGCAGAAGTGAAGAGAAGTGGACAGAAGATGAATCAGATCAAGTCTCTCCTGTCTATTGCCTGGAACAAGGAATTTCACTTGGGATGATTGGATGAACTTCAGGGGTCAACTAGGCCCCTGTGACTGTATAAAAAAACTTTGTGTCTACGTGCTTATGAGAGGTAGACCTTCCATTAGGATCCATAGCGAAAGAAATAACACTCAAAGTGATAGATATTCTTCATTCACAAGATTCAGTGTCTGAGGCTAGGGTATGAAACTCACCACGATCAGAACCACCATTAAAAGACACCTGAAGCTACAATAAAAAATAAATAAAATTTAAAAAAGGAGGAAAACAGCAAGTGTTGCCAAGGATGTGGAGAAACTGGAAGCCTTATGCATTACTAGTGGGGATGTAAAATGGTGTAGCCACTGTGGAACATAATTTGGTGGTTCCTCAAAAAGCTAAACATTAGAATTTTCATTTTACCCAGCAATTTCACTCTTAGGTATATACCCAAAAGAACTGAAAACAGAGACTCAAATATATCCTTGTAGGTCACTGTTCATTGCAGCAGTATTCACAATAGTCAAAAGGTGGGAGCAACCCAAGTGCCCCTCAGCTGACGGATGGATACACCAAATGTGGTATGTACATTCAACCAGCACATCATTCATCCTCAGTGAGGTTCTGACACAGGCTACATACAGCATGGATGAACCTTGAAAATACTGCTAAGGGAAATAAGCCAGACACGAAAGGATAAATATTGTAAAAGTTCAACTTATATGAAATATCTAAGATAGGCAAATTCATAGAGACAGAAAGTAGATGAAAGGTTATCAGGACTGGGGAGAGGCGAATGGGGACCTGTTGCTTAATGGTTATAGAGTTCATTTGTGCTCATGAAAAAAATTCTGGAAACACACAGTAGTGATGGTTGCACAACATCGTGAATGTAATTAATGCCACTGAACTGTACACTTGAAAATGGTACAAATCACAGGCACACAGGAGCAAATAGCTACCAAGGATGGGTAGTCTGGGAGAACTACACGTTTGAGATGTTTAAGGGAAAGTTGCCTAGAGGAGGTGATCATAAGCGCAGTTACGAGCCAAGATTTCCACACTCAGAAAGGAGAGGAAAAGCTTCTGGTAAGCTCTGGGACCTACTTTCTAGACTCTGGAGCCACTGCCTGGGTTGTAATCTTGGCTGGGTGGCCTTGGGAACCTTTCTGTGTCTCAATCTCCCCGTACGTAAAACGCCCACAGTAATGGTATCTTCTGCTAGGGTTGCTATGGTGATTAAATTAGTTAATGCATATAAAAGTAATCAGTTCTCCGGGCGCAGTAACTGCTATATAAGTGTTAGCTAGTCTTAGTTTTGTTTAACTTCTTTTCTTTTTTATGGAAAAGATCTAAGAAGAAAATAAAAAGCACATAATTCTACCCAGTAGCAATCCCTGCTAACCGTTTATTGCCATTTCTTCCACAACTTTCTGTCCGCAAATGCACAGACACAGAGCTCCGCCAGCGCACCTCCTCCGCACGGCGCACGCCGCACGCCGCGGCCAGCGACCAAGACAAAGGAATTCACCGAAGCCCAGCCGGCGACGGACTCCGTCACCCGAAACCACCTCCTAGATTGCCGCGTGCGCACTCCGCGCTCAGGGGAAGGAGCGTCGCAGGGCCTTCCCCCAAACGGAAGTGATGTCAGCACATGCGCAGTGACGACGAGGAGGCCGTCGGAAAGTAAGGGCCGGCCTGTGTGCGAGCTGGTTTCCGGAAGTGGTGCTGTGGCAGCATGCTCGAGGAGCTGGGTTTAATCGGGACCATAGGCGAAGATGACGAGGTGCCAGGGGATCCTGAGTCTGACTCCGGAGAGGAGGAAGAGGAGGTATGAGCCGATCGGGGTTGGGGACGCGGCGGCGTGCAGATTTCCGTGATTGCTTCCCTTCTCCGTGATTCCTCGGGCCCCTGCCCCTAGCTCCGCAGCATCCTCCTGCCAGGCCGGCAAGTGTCCCTGGAAGGGGACCCCAAGATCTTCCTCAGTTTGGTCTCCACTCGCTTTTCCTCACCTCTGCGCCTGTGCCGGTAACGCGCCGTGTCGTCTTGGCGAACTTAGTACCCATTCACTGGTGTTGAATCCGGGCTCTATGTAACAGATCATAGAGATCCAGGGGCCAAGCCAGTCGTGGTTCCTCATCAGGGGTTCGTTCATTAAGCCAGTATTTATTGACGTGGAGGCCATGGGACACCCGGGTGGAGGTGTCTGTAGGCTATACCTAGTGTTCAGCGTTCGGGACACAGCAGTGAACAAGATGGGCAAGGACACCACTCTTCTGAAGCTTATGCTGGGTGGGAGGGTTACAGACATTAAGCAGTGTGGCAGTTAAAAGAGGAACAGTGTCATGAAAAAGGGGCTCACCCTACAAAGATCCAGCCCAGGTGTTTGCCCTACTATGGCCTCATCTGCCTACAGACACCTCCACCTGGGTGTCCCATGGCCTCCACGAATTCAGCTTCACCAAAGCCAAACTCGGGTCTCCCTCACCTTCCCAACCTGCTCCATCTCAAGCCAGAAACCTAAGCATCATCCTTGACAGCTGCTTCCTTCTCACTCCCCTCCAGTTTCGTTCAGGCTAGCTCAGCTCTTTTAACTTCTCCCCCTTTTCCTAGCTCACCCTAGACCAGGCCACTGCCACCTTGTGCCTGGAGACCCAGCATCCTAAGGTACCTGGTCTCCAGCCTTTCTCTTGCCCGCCGCACCCCCCCCCCCCCCCCATTCACTACTTAGCAGCAGCTAGAATGATCTTTTCATTTCTTGAATGGAAAACTATTATGAAAAAGGACTGGAGCAAATATGGCAAATGATAATGCCGAAGTTAAAATGTGAAGTTCTGTACAGCTAGAAATGATATGTAATCATTATTAATAATGAACTTTAGGGTGAGAGTTCTTACGAGTTCTTACGAGATTGTTTAACTCAAGTGAGGAAAAAAAGGTCAGTTTCTAGTTCTCAGAAGCCATAAATCAGTCTTCCTTTCCAGTTTTTAGATGTTTGGGTTTTTGTGATTGGTTTCTTTTTTTTTTTTTTTAAGATTTTTTATTTATTTGACAGAAAGAGACACAGCAAGAGAGGGAACACAAGCAGGGGGAATGGGAGAGGGAGAAGCAGGCTTCCCGCCGAGCAGGGAGCCCGATGTAGGGCTCGATCCCGGGACCCCGGGATCATGACCTGAGCCGAAGGCAGACGCTTAACGACTGAGCCACCCAGGCGCTCCCAATGATTGGTTTCTAACTTAATTGAATTGCTGCAAGAGAAGAAAGTCTGTATGATATTGATTCTTTGGAACTTTTTGAAGATTTGCTTAAAGGCCTCTTGTGTGATCAGTTTTTGCACCTATTCCATGTTTGTTCAGAATGCGCACTCTCTAGCGGTTGATGCAGCGTTGTCTATAATGTTCACAGGAACGAAGCTTGTTGATTGTGCTCTTCAGATTTTCTGCAGACACTTATTTTTTGTCTGCTTAATTTGTCAGTTACTGAGAGAGCCACGTTAAGATCTCCCATGACAATTGTAGATTCCTGTTCTGTGTTGTTTCAGCCCTGTAGTCATCCTGCTTCTCCCCCTTCTCAGGGGCCCATCGTGCTGGGCAGAAAGCAGAAAGCCTTGCAGAAGAACCGGAGCACTGATTTCAACCCTGACTTCGTTTTCACTGAGAAGGAGGGGGCATACGATGGCAGCTGGGCCATGGCCGATGTCATGAGCCAGCTCAAGAAGAAGGTGAGAACGGACAGTGATTGGCAGTTCCAGGCCGTGGGCTATTGAGGTTGGACAGTAGGTTTTGGGGTCTAACCTCACTGCCTTTTGCCATCTGCTTACATTCAGCAAATGCTGGAACTCTTGGAAATATGTGGTGTAGTTTTGATGGGGTGGGGATAAGAGTCACAAAAACCCCCAGTCTTGATTAAAACCAAAGTGTAAAATGTTGCAACATAGATTTATTACAGACTAATTACAAACACATGAATTGATCTACAGATGATATTTTAAAGTATCAGAAATATCTTATTTCCTTCATTAGAAGATGTCCATGACGGCTTTTCCTGGAGGAGGGCATGGCGAACTCAGATTAACTTCCGTATATATATTAAGGGAGACCATTCCTGATATTATACACACTAAAATGTGAAAACGTTTCAGAGGAAATCTGGTAATACTGGTCTACTGGTTTAGGAATACCAAATATCACATATAAATTGCTTGACTTAGAAAAGAAGTGGGCATAGCTATGTTAAAATGGTCTCTTTTTGTAGGTGTTCTCTCCTTGTTTTGAATACTAGAGAGAAACCTTTGTTACATTAGTTTGTAACAAAGAACAATCTAGCATGCACCCTTGGTAGTAGTGTTTTGATCTGCCCCACAGACGCTGTCATTCTGTCACTTGCCAGGTGATCTCACTGTTTAGGGTCCCTGGTTCCCACATAGCATAGCCAAAGCTGCTACAGATGTCACCGTCATCTGCTTATTTGTCAAGATCCCATGTTTTCCTTTGAATCCGGTGAGCGAGCTAGAAGGTGCATCAGCGACATTTTCCATTCCATGGGCCTCAAAGAGAAATGCTGCAGAAATAGCACAGAGCTATTTACACCAGACTCTCTTGGTGTTCTGATTAAAATCAACTAGCATTGCCTTTTCATGGTTACCTGGACAGGATTTCTTTGTGATTTTTTTTTTTCCTTTTCAGTACTTTTTCAGAGAATGCCAGAGAAATTTTCCTTTTTCAAAATAATTATGAAATGTTTGTTTCCCTGTTCCATGTTTTGATGAAAGTTCACTCCAGGTTCACTTAACAAATTTTACATTTGTTCCCAGGTCCGGGTATATAGGCCCCATGTAATTAAAGACTTGGTCTTATAAAGCTTGCAGTCCAGCAGGGTAAAAGATAAGTAAACAAATAATTACAAATACAAAAACAAATAGTTAATTGTAGTTGTGACAAATGCCGTGGCAGTTCAGGGTGCTTTGAGCATAGGTAAAGGAGGCCTGCCATTACTTACCCTTTCTAAAAGTTTCAGCAGAATTTGCTTTGATTTCAGCCTTTAATTGCTAGGCTAAATTCTGTCTGATTGGCATGGGGAAGGATTTTTCTAAGTAGCATTCAGCTATAAATGTGACATCTCTTGGTAATTCTGTTCTTCTTAATAGTAAACACCTTCCAAAATGTGGATGTTCTTCTTGGTTCCAGGTAAAGATTTTTCACACTTGACTATTTATTTGTTTTGTTGTTGTTGTGAATAATCTGCAGATTGATTAATCTATCCAAGGACAGACGAGCCTCTTCTGTATTAACATGGGAGACCCAACGCTCAGAGAAACCTTGCTTTGTCTCTTTCCCATATATATGCTTCTTATTCATCTTATTTTTATCTGCAGAGGGCAGCCACTACATTAGATGAGAAGATTGAGAAAGTTCGCAAGAAAAGGAAAGCAGAGGTGAGAAAGCAAAGCAGGTACTTCTCTGTGGAAAGCCCTGAGCTTTGCCCTCCCCACCATTTTTCTTTAAGCCTGAATTGGAGTGTGGGGGTGCAGACAGGCTTCTCTGTGTGTCTGTTGTTAATAATCACTGAGAGTCCGCAGAGCGTTCTGCCCAGGCTGGAGAGCATGGTATTGCTCTTCAGAGGTTCTAGATTTCCTGAAGTTTGTAGTTGCCTTGCTTTACTATAATATTTTTTCCAGGATAAAGAAGCTAAGTCTGGGAAGTCAGAGAAGGAGAAAGAAGCAAAGGAGGGCTCTGAACCAGAGGAGCAGGAAGACCCTGAAGGGAAAGATGAGGAAGGCCCGGAAGATGAAGACTCAGAGACCGATTACTCGTCAGCTGATGAGAACATCCTCACCAAAGCAGGTGGGCATTACAGAGACGCTGTCGGAAACGGGGACAGGAAATTGGAACGAGTCCACCTTTCCTTTGTAGGACTTCCTGTGTTCTTCTACAGTCACATTTAAGATCTCCATGTTGAACTCCTAGCTTCTCTTTTTTTCTTGGGGTTTTGTTAGGGTTGTTGTACTTTGCTGGCAGACCATACCCTTTCCCTCCTCCCCAGCCCCACACAGCTGCTGGCACCTCTAAGACTCAGACTTATTTGGGGTGATAGGTCCCCCACATCCCACCTCAGATGGGCCCAGCCGCGTGGTGGGTCCTTCGTAAATATTTCTTGCAGAAAGGAGTGCTCGAGCATGATAATAGAGTGCAGTTGTTGAGAGCCTGGAACTTGCCGAGCTTGCTGCACGTGTCCTCACTGTCAAACGAAGCTAATGAGAGTAGCCCCCTCAGGCTGTTGTGTGGATTCAGTGAGGTAGCTACAGAAAGCACTTAGGACAGCAGCTAGCAGATTATAAATGCTCAGTAAGTACGAGCCCTGATGGTCAGCTCTATTTTTCTCCACAGATACACTCAAAGTAAAGGAGCAGAAGAAGAAGAAAAGACAAGTGAGCATGAGCATGGAAAAGAGCATGCAGCTTATTTTTGCAACCTGACAGGACTTTAAGGCCAGTTAGTTTCCTTGGGCCCATTTTGCTGAATTCTCATTCTGTCTTTTGATTTCCTGGTGTAGGAAACAGGAGGATTTTTTGAAGATGCATCTCAGTATGATGAAAACCTCTCATTCCAGGACATGAACCTTTCCCGCCCTCTTCTGAAGGTAGTTGCTTCTTTTGGCAACCATGGAATTATTGCAATCACCCCTTAACTAGGCTCCCTGCCCTAAACTGGGCTCTTTGCCTCCCTAAATTCTGTTGTCCACACAGCTGCCAGAGAACCCTCTTAAAAAGTTCCATCTTGGCCTATTAATCCTTGCCCTTTCTGGTCTCCTCTGGTGATGTCTCCTAGCACTCATTCTGCTCTGGCCACCTTGGCCTCCTCCCTGGCCCTCAAACAGGTTAGGCGTTTTCTTCCTCAGGGCCTTTGCACTTACTGTTCCCTCTGCCTGGAAAGTTTTTCCAGTAATCTGGTTGGGGTGCTCCTCACCTCTTTCAGGGTTCTACTCAGTATCTTCTGCTCAGTGAGACTTTCCCTGACCCTACTATAAATCGTACTCGTTCCCAGCCCCCTTGAATGCTGTGGTTTTCTCCATATGGCATGTGATGATTTTTGGTCTTTTTCCCTACCAGACTGTAAGATTGCCAAGGGCAGGGTCTTTATTTCTTTGGTTTACTGCTGTATCTCAGTGCCTAGAACAGATCTCCCACGTAGTCGGCACTTGATGAATGTTTGTAGAATGAATGACTGGGAGGGACTGAAGGAGTCACCACCTGTGTGGAAACCTGCCTTGTTTGTTTCATGCTGAGACTCCTCCTCCCCATCCTGTATGACCCCATCTTTTCTCTTCAGGCCATTACAGCCATGGGCTTCAAGCAGCCCACCCCAATCCAGAAGGCATGCATACCTGTGGGTCTGTTGGGGAAGGATATCTGTGCCTGTGCAGCCACTGGGACAGGTATAAAGGATAGTGACTTGGGGGGTGGGGAGAGGAGGAGGCAGGAGGAGGATGTTCAACCTACAGCAGGGGTCTAGATTGATTTACACAAGGGCCACTTTGCTAAATATGCAAATACAAATTGTAATGCAATAACACTATATATTCTTGCTTATTAATTTCCCTTAAATCTCAACATATATTTTCCTATTTCTTTAAGTACTCTTCACTTTTTTTTTTTTTTTTAAAGATTTTATTCATTTATTTGACAGAGAGAGACACAGTGAGAGAGGGAACACAAGCAAGGGGAGTGGGAGAGGGAGAAGCAGGCTTCCCGCGGAGCAGGGAGCCCGATGCGGGGCTCGATCCCAGGACGCTGGGATCATGACCTGAGCTGAAGGCAGACGCTTAATGACAGAGCCACCCAGGTGCCCTAAGTACTCTTCACTTTTTAAAAATGGTTGTATAGTATTGTTATATAGCTGTTTCTGCTCTATAATTAACTGCACTAATATATAATGTTGTGATGAACATTTTTTACTCCTATGACTGGGGATTATGTATAAATAAAGGTGACCTTCATGAGACCCCCTGAAATCTATAACCTGTAACTATTCCTATTAGGGTGTCTCTGATCATGATCTCTTGTTGCTGCCATAGTAAGAGTAAAGATTTTTTTTTAATTTAAGAGGGGCCGGGGGAGAGGGAAAGGGAGAGAGTGAATCCTCAAGCAGACTCCCTGCTGAGAGCGGAGCCCAGTGCAAGGCTTTATCCCACGACCCTGAGATCATGACCTGATCTGAAATCAAGAGTCAGACGCCCAACCAACTGAGCCATCCAGGTGCTGCAATAGGAGTAAAGATTTTATGAAACAGACTTTCATCATGGTGTTCTGTATCAGTAAATTATAGAGTAGAAGTAGTCACATGACAGAATATTATGCAACCATTTGAAAGTAAAGAGTATTTAAAGAAACAGGAAATATGGTTTTTTTGTTTTTGTTTTTAAGTGATCTCTACGCCCAGCATGGGGCTCAAACTCATAACCCCAAGATCAAGAGCTGCATGCTCTACCAACTGAGCCAGCCAGGTGTCTCTGTTATGCTTTTTTTGAAAGGGATTACTGAACAGAATATATAGTGTTACTGCATTAAATTTTTAATTCTTATATTTCTGTCCATTAAGAAAAATGTTGGTAATCTAAATACCATTAGGTTAATGTTTATCTCTGGTTGGCTGAACTGTGGGTGATTTTTATTATTTTCATATTTTTTATGTACTTCTCAGATTTTTCACATTGGCCCTGTGAAAAAAAGCTTTATGAAAAAAAAGTTGCTTCATTTCCCCTTGAGCATATATGTAGGTCTTCTGGGCTCAGGTGAAAACCTGAACCTTGAAGGGACTGAAGCTCCTCTCACTGGTTCCTGCTGCCTTCTCCAGGTAAAACTGCTGCTTTCGCCCTGCCTGTCTTGGAGCGTCTGATCTACAAACCCCGCCAGGCTCCTGTCACGCGCGTGCTCGTGCTGGTTCCCACCCGAGAACTGGGCATCCAGGTGCACTCCGTCACCAAGCAGCTGGCTCAGTTCTGCAACATCACCACCTGCCTGGCCGTGGGTGAGTGTCTGGCGGCCCCTGAGAGACTGTGAAGTGGCGGAGGGTGGGTGTGCCCCACCATCTGAGGATGACAAGTACCAGGAAAGCCTTCCTGTGATTAAACCCACTTGAAAAACCAGATGAGGTGTTTTCAGAGTAGAGAGCTTGGGGGGAAGGGAGAGGGTTTCACTGAGATTTAACGAGCCTTAAAAAATGAAACTTCAAAATTCAGGGCAAAAAAATTTTCTTGGGACTGAACAAATTTAGAATGTAATTTTTGCTTTGTATGAATAGAGAATCAAATATTTGGGGCAGAATTTTTCTGATGATATTCTATGGTACTGTTCTCCAACCTTCATGTAATCCTCTCTGTGCAGTGGGAAGGCAAAGGGGATGGAGAAATTGTTTGCTTTGACAGCTGCTTCTGTCAGTCCCTGGGTGTTTGAATCCTTCGGTTCTGAAGTGCCCTCATGTCATCATCTTTTTTCACACTTAGCATAGTTGTAATGAAATAATCTGTCTCTCCCAATGTCTTGTAAAATCCACACAGGCGGGGCCTTTGTCAGTCTTGTTCTCTGCTATTTCCCTGGCATCTGGCATGGGACGTGGCAGGTGGCAGGGCCAAGTCCAGACTGTTGAACAACTGACTGACTTGGCCACTTGGCGGGGCTCTTCTCTGCAGGAGGCTTGGATGTGAAGTCTCAGGAAGCAGCTCTGAGGGCAGCGCCCGACATCCTCATCGCCACCCCAGGCCGGCTCATCGATCATCTCCACAACTGCCCTTCCTTCCACCTGAGCAGTATTGAGGTGCTCATCCTGGATGAGGCTGACAGGTACACCTGAAATGGTGGGGCCCCAAGTGCTCCGGGGTCCTGGGGGCCACACCCCAGAAGAGAACCTGCTTCTGCATTAGTCTTCATGGATCTTGCCATGGCCATGTGTGCGATGACAGTTCAGCTGCTCACATCTGGACATCTGTTCATCATTAGTCTGGATTATCCTGCTTTTTTTCTCTCTCTGTGATGTAATGGTTGAGAGGGAGGGTAAATCAAATTCTGGCTCTGCCATTTCCTAACTGAGATTTGGAAATATTATTTAGATTCTTTGTTTGTTTAAGCTTTTTAAAATTTTTAAGTAATCCCTATACTCAACATGGGACTCGAGCTCATAACCCTGACATCAAGAGTAGCATGCTCCACCAGCTGAGCCAGGCAGGCACCCCTTTTACTTAGATTCTAAAGCAAATCTCTTCTTGTTTGTGAGGGATAAGAATTACACCCCCTTTCATGGTGTAGAGGATTCCATGAGGAATACAGTAGAGTGGCAGGGCACGGTGAGGACTCAACAAACAGCCTCTATTACTGTGGTAGGGGACTCCCTGCCTCCCTCTTCTCTCATACGGGCCCCATCTGTTGCCCTCTTTCCTTCATGACCGAACAGAATGAACCTCAGTGAACTGGACTCATGATCAGAGTGGGGGCAGGGGAAGGAGGCCACAAGCCCAAAGCCCATTCAGATTTACTCTCCAATTGAAGCATCTCCAAACTAAAGAGGTCCTGAGCTGAGCTTCGGACCCCATATGCCCCTCCCTCCCTTTCCCATCTCCGGGCATGGCAGCTCTGTCCTCCCAGTGGTTCAGGCCAGAATTGTTTGCATTGCTCTTGTGTCCTCATCTCCCACCCACAAAGCATCCATTGGGAAGTCCTATCAGCACAGCCCCACGTAGGGGCTTCTGCGCTTTCTGTCCCCTCAGCTTGGAATGACCTGTACCTTCCTCAGGTTTCTGCTCCAGTTGTCACTTATCTGAAGGGCCTTTGCTGGCCACTGTCTAAAACAGTTCCTGCTTTCCACTCTCTGAGGTGCTATGCCTCTCCAACCTCCTACATTGTCACCTGAATGCCTGTGTGGTGGTTGTGACCCTTCTCTCCTCTGGAACATATTTATGAGGGGCTGGCTTTGTGCTGCTTGCTGCTCTGTGCCCAGGGTTGCGTCTAGTATCCAGCACATGCTCAGTAAGTGTTCGTTGAATAACTGATTGATTTCCCTAGAGCAAATGAACCATTCTTGAGTCATGAGGGAGGTAAAGGAGATCTTTCTGAGCAAAGGGAATGTGATCTGATTGAGGTTTTAAAGGGGAAGGGAACTGTCTTCTTAAAAAATGTTAAAGTCTCGGGCACCTGGGTGGCTCAGTCGTTAAGCGTCTGCCTTCAGCTCAGGTCATGATCCCGGGGTCCTGGGATCGAGTCCCACATCGGGCTCCCTGCTCGGCAGGAAGCCTGCTTCTCCCTCTCCCACTCCCCCTGCTTGTGTTCCTGCTCTCACTATCTCTCTCTCTGTCAAATAAATAAATAAAAATCTTTAAAAAAAAAAAAATGTTAAAGTCTCAGAAGACCAAGAAAGGCTGTGGATGTTTCCTATTAAGGAGATCAAGGACCATGACAAGTAAATGCGGTACGTGATGCTCACCTGGAGCCTGAACTGGGGAAGAAATACTGTGAAGGATTGAGTCAGCTGAACAAATTGGAGTCAGAGTAATCCTCTGATTAATATTATCTACAAAGACAAAAAGGTTCCTTTACAGTGAATAGAACTGGCCGATACCACCTCAGTCATGTGATCAAACTCACGTCAGTGGTACTGGAACAAACGGATGGTCTGTGTCTCCTGATGGAGAGGGAAGTACACAGCCGCACCCCTGCACGTTCTCGCCTCCATGAGTTACTGAATCCAGTCACTGGGAAATGAGCAAAGACAATGTAAAAAAGCTTGAGGAGACTTCTGTAGATTAAGGGAGACTGAAGAAACATGACAACCAATGCAACATAGGAACTTCAGTTTCCTGGATTAAAAAAATAAAAAGATAGCTATAAAATGACATTTTGGGGACAATTAGGGATATTTGAACTTGGACTGTACTTCAGGTATTATTCAAACACTTAAATGTTTGGGGTGTGATAATGACATGATGGTTATATAGGAGAAGGTCTTTTCTTAGGCATTGTGTGCTGGGATGGTTAGGGGTAAGGTGTTGTGATGTCTGCCACTTACTTATATATAGTTCAGAAAAAAGAAAAAAGATAAAGCAAATATGGCCAAATGCTAGTTCTTGATGAATCTTGGTGAAAGGGTAAACTAACAATATTAATACATAAGTAAATAAACAAGCCTGAAACGTAACCAGTTACAACATCAGAACGTCAGCTTGTCTGATGTTTTCTGTCCATCATTGTGACAGATGTGAGCTCAGTCCATTTCTCTTGATTCCTTCTCCCTGCTCGTCAGGATGCTGGATGAGTATTTCGAGGAACAGATGAAGGAAATCATCCGGATGTGTTCCCACCATCGCCAGACCATGCTCTTCTCAGCCACCATGACAGATGAGGTGGGCCACAGGAATTCTGCTTGGTGGGGTGAATGCAGAGGACCCAGGCTGGGTGCAGGGGGTGGCCTGGGGCAAGCATGGCTTGCCTCCACCCCCATCCCCACCCCCTACCCCCCGCCTCCTGGCAGACGAGTGAGCATCCCTGTGTTTGTGCTGGGCAGGTAAAAGATCTGGCTTCTGTTTCCTTGAAGAATCCTGTCCGAATATTTGTAAACAGCAACACGGATGTGGCCCCCTTCCTGCGGCAGGAGTTCATCCGGATCCGGCCGAATCGGGAAGGGGACCGGGAAGCCATCGTGGCAGGTGAAAGCCCAGGGAGGGACTGGGCAGGGGGTTGCTGGACTCCCTTGGCCCTGTGGGTGGCACACTCAAGTGGCTGGGTGTTGCCTGGCACTTCCTCTGACGGGCTCCCCTGACCTGTTGCGTGATACTGCCATTAATGTGCTCTGCCACTTTGGCCTTGGGTCCTTCCCCCTTTCTTCTGTCACCTCACCTCCCTCCCACGGTCCAGTCCTCCTTAGGTGCTGCTGAACGCCCAGCCACTTCCCCCAAAACTGCCCCTCTGGCCCTTGGTTTAACCTGCTGCCTCTTTTGCCTGAATTGTTGCAGTGGCCTTGGACTAGGCTCCTACTCCCACTCTTGTCCCTTGGTGACCATTCTCCACACTGCAGATCATTTAAAATGATCATTTACAAGCGAACATTCACTCATGTTACCTCCCTATTTACAACGGTCGGGTGTCTCCCATTGCTTTCAGTCCACAGTCCACACTCCCTAGGGAGTCCTGTACAGCCCTTTGGGACCTGGCCCCTGCCTGCCTGGAGTCCTCAGCCTGGGTGCCCGGCCATACTCTCCTGCTTCCGTTCTCTCAAACACACCAAGCTTGTCCTGCCTTGGGGCCTTCACGTTTGCTCCTTCCTCTGCCTGGAATCTTTCCTCAAATCTTGTGAACGAGCCTGCCCTGTCATTTAGCCTAACATCACCTCTTTAGAGAGGCCAGCCCTAAAGCTGCCTCTCCATCTTCCCTTCCCTCTCTCACAGCATTTGTCAGCCTTGGGAATTGGGAATTGGCTTCTCTGTGTCCTGGACTGGGAGCCTCACAAGGCAGGGACCTTGCCTGTCTCCCCCAGTGCCAGCCACATCAGCTCCTTCACAGGTGTGGAGGGAGTCTATCGGAGGTGGCTTCCAGCTCAATCTTCTCTCCCCACCAGCTCTGCTGACAAGAACCTTCACTGACCATGTGATGCTGTTCACCCAGACCAAGAAGCAGGCCCACCGCATGCACATCCTTCTGGGGCTCCTGGGGCTGCAGGTGGGCGAGCTCCACGGCAACCTATCACAGACGCAGCGGCTGGAGGCGCTCCGGTAAAGTTCGGGGGGCTGAGGCTCCCTCCCATCCTTTAGAGAGGGCTCTCCTCATTGAGAGAGAGAGAATACCACCCAGAGGTTATGTTAGAGCGATTGCAGGGGATACAGACGGCACAGTCCCCCAGTGTAAAGATTTTAGTCCAGCTGCTGTAACGTTAGGTCTTAGATACATTGAGAATTCCTCATAGTCTCACAGAAGCTGACACTGATGCCCTAGGGCTTGAGTGTTGGAGCTGCTGAGTGGGGCCACGGCAGGAAATTCTGGCTTGGGAAGACACAGCACATGTCCTGTTCTCTATAGCTTTTCCAGAGCAGTGGGCATACCTGGGTCTGTTAGAACGAGATTTGAAATCAAAGCCAGCCACCATTTCCTGAGCATGTACTTTGCCACGTCCTGTGTTTTCCATGTGTTTTTGTTTAATTCTTGTAGAATGAAGTCATGCTCATAGGCCAGGAGGGACCCTTTAGAATTCTTCACCTGTCTGCATTTATCATAGGCAGCTGCAAGGTATTTTTTTAAAAAAAGGCTGCTTTGAATGCGGAGACATTTGCATTTGTTACTTCCTACAGTCTAGCTCTGTGGTTCCTGAACTTCCATATTTGTAGGAGTTGGGGCTTAAGGTGGTATAAACCAAACTATGTTTGTTCTATGTTACAGGATGTTTAAGGTGTCATGTGAGTATCAGATGGTCTGACGTTTAGGATCTCATTTAGATTATCACTGTGACAATCTGTACTCTGCTGCTTGAATCCAAAAGGATTTGTGTTCTCTCTGCTGGCTCAGCCTCCGGTGGAGCATTTTTGGGGTTGAGTATCCAGGTGAACATCTGTTTGTGGCTATTTCTAGGCGCTTTAAGGATGAACAGATCGACATCCTTGTGGCCACAGATGTGGCAGCCCGTGGACTTGACATCGAGGGGGTTAAAACGGTGAGCAGCCTCTGTCTTCCTTGAACTTTTGCTGGGAGTCTTTTTGCCTCCTTGTGTTCTGTCTCTCTCCAACTGGTCTGACTTTGACCTTCCAGGTAATTAACTTCACAATGCCCAACACCATCAAGCATTACGTCCACCGGGTGGGGCGAACAGCGCGGGCTGGCAGGGCTGGGCGCTCGGTGTCTCTGGTGGGAGAAGAGGAGCGGAAGATGCTGAAGGAGATCGTAAAAGCCGCCAAGGCCCCCGTGAAGGCCCGGATACTTCCCCAAGGTGAGCGGGCACCACTGTAGCAGCTCAGGGCGGTTGGGGTGGGCAGGGTGGGTCCTGGATCAGACTCTGTGGGACAGAGCCAAGAGCAGAGGGTAATAGGTGAGAGTAGTCAGGAGCTGGATTTGAACTCCAGGCCTGCCACTTCCTTGCTGAGTGACCCTGGGCCGGTCTCCCCTTGCCCCTCTGTGTCTCTCTTTCTGTGAAAGGAAATGATGACAGACTTAACACCTCGAGTGCCCCACTCATAGGTTATTTTCCAACCTTTGGGAAGAGAAGGCTTCTTCTTGGGGCAAAAGCCCTATTAATCACCACCCCCCTTCCTTTTGGTGGGGGAAAGAGGTCAGCACTTACTTGTTTTTAGATGTCTTTGGTTCATTTCTTTCTCATCTGCAGGGTCACATTCTTTGTTTTTTAAATTTATAAAAATAACATATATATATTCATTATTAGAAATTAGTAAATAAAAGCCAAAATGTAATTGCTTGTGGAAGAGCTCACCACTGTTAGCATTTAGGGACATATCCTTTGAGACCTTTATTCCATTTATACATGTCTTTTTTCTTTCATTTTTTTCATTTTCACTTAACTCATTCTATCAGCTAGCAATTATTGAGTACTACCAAGTGCCGGGTGCTGTTTATTCTATCCTAGGTATTAGGGATATAGCAGGAAACAAAACATCTGATATTCTGGTAGGAAGAAGACAATAAATAATAAGAGTAGATGTGATCCAGAATGTCAGGAGGAGAGATGCTGCTTTCGAAAGCTGTTTAGGAAAGGCCTCTGGACAGATGGCATTTGAGCTGAGTCCTAGATAAGAATGAGGTAACCATGAGCAGTCTGCAGACAGTGTGCCAAGCAGAGAAAACCAGGGCAAAGCCTCTGAGGCAGGAGCGGATGCGGTGTGCGAGTCAGTGAAGGAAGAGCCAGAGAGGGCCCAGGGCACGGTGAGCAAGGGTGGAGATAGAAGCTCCGAGAGGTAGGCAGGGGCCACATGTAGGAGTTTGAAATTTATTCCAAGCGCAGCAGGCTCTTTGGGGGTGGGATGAGGAGGGGGTGTGTTGTGAAGTGGAGAAGTCACCCATAAAAAACCCCAATTTTCTGTTGTCACTAAATACACATCTCTATTATTTTCATCAGTTACACAGTATTTATCCTTATTTAAAAATTTTTGTTGTTCTCTTCCCTTGAGATGTCATCCTCAAATTCCGGGACAAGATTGAGAAGATGGAGAAGGACGTGTATGCAGTTCTGCAGCTAGAGGCCGAGGAGAAGGAGCTGCAGCATTCAGAAGCTCAGGTAGGGCTGCACCGAGACTGGCGGGGGGGGCCTGCAGGGCGGGGCGGGAAGCGGGCCACGGCGGTCCCTGCCAGTCCTGCCCTGCCATACCCGGTGTCGGCCAGACAGGTGCTGTCCTGCAGCTGCCGTGTGACATCTTAACAGTTGGCGCTGTCGTGGCAGCCACCCTTGTGCTGTCTCCATAGATCAACACAGCAAAGCGGCTCCTGGAGAAGGGGAAGGAGGCACCGAACCACGAGCCTGAGAGAAGCTGGTTCCAGACCAAGGAAGAGAGGAAGAAGGAAAAAAGTATGTTGGAGAGGTCCCTCAAAAAGCTGGGTCTGAGTTCTCCTGGAACTCAGCACAGCCACTGCTAGGCCTGTTCCCAGAAGAACTGAGAACAGGGACTCAGAGGCACACTGTATGCCGGTGTCCAGTGGCCAAGGGGTAGAAGCGACCTGTGTGTGTCAGCAGATGGACAGTCACAGAAGATGTGGTGTGCACGTCCCATAGAGTATGGTTTAGCCATAATGAAGTAGATACACACTGCAAGGGTGAACCTAAGTGAAATGATCCAGATGCAAAAGGACAAATAGATATGATCCTCCTTATATGAGGTAAATCCATAGATGCAGAAAGTAGAACAGAGATTTCTAGGGGTTGTGGGGAGGGCGTTATGAACGGTTACAGAGCTTCTGTTTGGGGATGATGAAGAAGTTACAGAAACAGGTCACGGTGATGGTTGTGCAATCCTGTGCACATGATTAATGCCACCGAGTTGTGCACTTAAGAATGGGTAAGGGGTGCCTGGGTGGTGCAGTCAGGTTAAGTGTCCAACTTTCAGTTTCAGCTCAGGTCGTGAGATTGAGCCCCGCATCGGGCTCTGCAGTCAGCACGGAGTCTACTTAAGACTGTCTCTCCCTCTCCCTCTGCCCTTCTCCCTGCTCTCTCTCTCTCTCTCAAATAAATAAACATTAAAAAAAAAATAAATGGGTAAAATGGCAAATCTTATGTTGTATCTGTTTTGCCACAATTAAAAAAAAAAAAGTAGGTCAGGAATATTTATAAGTATTCCCTGCCCTCCCCACCCCCCTTTTTATCACACAAATTCACATTTTTCTACACCTTGTTTTTTCCAGTTAATTTTATAGCTTAGATTTTATACAGGCACATACATAGCTGCCTTTTTTTTTTTTTAATGGCTGCATAGTCTTCCATCATGTGGATAGATTATAATTTATTTAATTAATCCCCTGTTGAGGGACATTGAAGTTGTTTGTAATCTTTTGCTATTCCAGCCATGTAGTGAATTAACTGTACAAATGCCCTTTCACAATTAAGCACGTGCATTTGATTTGCAGGATAAATCCCCGAAAGTGAAATTGTAGGCTAGAGGATATGTGCATTTATTATTTTGTTAGGGATTGCAAAATTACCCTCCAAAGAGGTTGTACCAGCAATTTTTTTTTTTTTAAAGATTTTATTTATTTATTTGACAGAGAGAGACAAAGCGAGAGAGGGAACACAAGCAGGGGGAGTGGGAGAGGGAGAAGCAGGTCTCCCACGGAGCAGGGAGCCCGATGCGGGACTCGATCCCAGGACCCTGGGATCATGACCTGAGCTGAAGGCAGACGCTTAACGACTGAGCCACCCAGGCACCCTGTACCAGCAGTTTAAGAAATACTGCCTATATCTGATGGGACAAAAAGGGTGCATGCATGTTAAATTTCTGTGTTAAACCTAGTTACAACTATATGGCGGGAGGGTCTGGGAGTATAAGTGAACCAAATCATCTTTCACAACACGATGTAGATAACGAATGTCTCAAGTGGATTAATGGAGAAATAGTGGAACAAGCATGTTAGTGAGATGGAGAGGTAACCACCAGCAGAGGATGTGAGTTGCTGCTTCTCATTTTGAACTCTTATGTACCAATTTAAAATATGTGTACTTCTTTTTAAAAAAGATGTTAAACAGTACCTGAAATCTCGTACTCCCTCCTCATTCTAGTTGCCAAGGCTCTGCAGGAGTTTGACTTGGCCTTAAGGGGAAAGAAGAAGAGGAAAAAGTTTATGAAGGATGCCAAGAAAAAGGGAGAGATGACAGTAAGTGGTTGGGTCCCTGCCCAGTGGCATGGGTCAGCACTTCTGGTCTGTTCCGTACTCACATCATCCTTTCTAGGCAGAGGAAAGGTCCCAGTTTGAAATCCTGAAGGCACAGATGTTTGCTGAGCGCCTGGCCAAGAGGAACCGCAGAGCCAAGAGGGCCCGAGCAATGCCTGAGGAGGAGCCAGCAAGAGGCCCTGGTAGGGAGATGGGGAGCCCATAGGAGCTCGTAGGAAGGTTCTCCCTGAAACTTGTGCTTCTGGTCAGGGAGAAAATTGGAGGGTTAATAAGAGCCCATATTTTTTGAGTAATGTGTGTACCAGTATGTACAGTTATTTTTGGGTTCCCAAGTGGTGAAGTGACCCCATGGTTAGTGGGGAGAGCTAGGATCTGAACCCAGACCTTTCTGACTCGAGCCTAAGTCCTTACAAACTGCTCCTTGGAGGAGCAGGTCAGGGTAAAAAGAAGTGAAGTCAGTCTTCAGCCCATTTCACATTTCAGTGGTTCTTTTCACTTTGGGACTCTGCAATCATCCTTTGGAGTGGTTCGTCACACCTGCCACTTCTGAATTCCTCATCCCTTTTCTGCTGGGATCCGATGTCTTGTTGCCATGTCAGTAAATCATCTGGCCAGAACATCCACTAAACTTGGAACCATTACCCTGAACTTAAGGATAGGATTTAGAAGCTTGAGCCAAAGAGGACATATCTAACCCATGCTTTCTGTGCACAGCCAAGAAACAAAAGCAGGTGAAGAAATCTGTATTTGATGAAGAGCTTACCAACACAAGCAAGAAGGCCCTGAAACAGTATCGAGCTGGGTAGGGTTTTAAGTCATCATGGGGCTCTTTGTATTTTGATCAAAGCTATATACCTTCTTCCTCCTTCTGTACTCCCCAATTCCCATATACTTGTAGCTTTATAATATATAATTTTAAGGGTTCCTGTCTGACACCCACCCCTGCCCCCCATCCCCAGCTAAGCCCATCTGTGGATCCCAGGGTGAGAACAGGAGGAAAGTGTTAAGGCCCTCCTGCCTTGGAGGTGAAAATTTCTGGTTCAGAAATAGACCTTTCTCTCAGGAGAGCTAGAAAGGCAAAGGATCATGGTTTGCTCTTAGGAATGTTACCCCCCACCCCCACCCCCAGATCAGTATCCCTTGGGCTGGGGTTGGGTTGGGGATAGACGGAACTTCCAGTCTTTTTTTAGAGCTGGGCCCTGACTTCCACAATCCCGTATTATCAGGTGGAAAGACCAGGCTTAGAACCTCAGGCCCTGAAAACGGTGCGTCAGTGATGCTGCTGCTTCATGTGGGAGCTGGGTGGGGGCGGCAATGAGACATTGTCTGTCTGTCGGGCTTCATTTCAGTGTCTCATCTTCTCACTTGCAGCCCCTCCTTTGAAGAAAGGAAACAGTTGGGCCTGCCCCACCAGAGACGAGGAGGAAACTTTAAGTCTAAATCCAGGTAATGTTTGCCCTTTTGGAGGGCCAGAGGTTGTGCCTGTTGGGGATTGGACCTTTCATGGGAAAGCTCCTCCTTCCTCTTCCTGGCTTTGGGAGTTGGTCTTTACTCTGCGGATTTTCTTCATAGGTACAAGAGGAGGAAGTAGCCAAGTTGGCCTGAAGTTCATGGGGCAGCCCTTAGATCCCTTCCTTGCGGGAAGTCATCCTGGCTTGGTCTCTTCTCTCCATTTGTAAAAAAAATTTTTTTAAATGTCAAGTCTGTATCATTTGTACATTAAAAAAAGAATGTAAGGTCGGGGGGTGTTGGTATGCGGAGTTACTTCCTAAGCATCCCTGTGAGTCAGCCAAGGCTCTTCTTGTTGATTAACTTTCAAATAAAGAAGATACCAAATGGGGGGTGCCTGGCTGGCTCAGAGAAGTGTACGACTCTTGATCTTGGGGTTGTGAGTTTGAGCCCCGTGTAGGGTGTAGAAAAAACCAACAACAAATAGAAGTATATTTTGGGAGGGAGAATAAACCAATCTGAATTGTATATTTTATTCTTCTGTTCATCCCTCAATAGCATAGTCTACCCCATCTACTTCCAATGCATCTTGATGCTTGTAGAGGAGCTGGATGTGGAGGAAGTTCTTCCTAGAAGTTCTCTTGAAGTCTGTCTGTCCTAGAACTAAGAGCTGTCATCCACTGAGCATCAGCCATGTACCAGACATTCTGTGTACTGAGTGCTGTCTCATTAAATTCATTACACTCTGTGGGAGAGGTAGTCATCCCCCTTTTGCACATAAAGAAACAGAGTGTTCAGAAAAAATGGAGTAATTTTCCAAAGTTACACTGGGAGTTCAGGTTTTTGAAACCAGGGTCTACCTGAACCCATACTGACTGTGCTATGGAAGTGCTACTGGAGAGATGGAAGCTCAAAGGGGACACAGGAAATCCCAGATAAATTTGCTCCTTGTTGCAAAAAACAGCTTTTACCCTGTAGAGTGTGGTTCTCATCCTTTCTGAATCATAGGTTCCTTTGACAACTAGATGAAGGATCGGAGATACCTCTTGAGAAAATTGTTATGGTTGTAGTCTGTCCTATATAATTTCAAGTACATACACCACCCCCACCAGCTCAAAAATTGTAATAGTTACCCAGTAGCACATACCCTTGACATTAAAAGAATGTGTTCAAAGGTATTCATTTAGGCTGCACCTAACAGTCATCAACAGAAGGCTCCATTTCAGTAAATAACAGCATACCTGGCGTGATGGGAGTATGCGGACTCCTTGTGTGTATGTCCTTACAGAAATCAAATTCTAATCTAATCTAAACCAAATCTCCAAGCTAAGGTTGTTAGGTTAAAAAAGCCAAGTGCAGAACTGGGTACTTTTTTTTTTAAGGGGTTATACATTGCATGTGCATAGCTTACCTCTGGGAGACTCAGGAAACGGTTAACAGAGTTGTCTCTAGGGAAGGAAACTTCAAGTTAAACCTTTTTATACAAAAACATTCTTTTTACCTTGAGTAAAAATGACTCACCAGCTAAATAAAAACCCCGTACCACAGAAACAGGACTGGCCTCCTTGTAGGCAGTGCCTCCATTCACATCCTCACTGTCTCAAGCCGCCCGAGCTGCTTCTGACAGTTGACGACAAATGTGGACCACTGAAATTTCTCAATCATCGTTTTTATTAATTGGCTTTATAGATTAAAGTGCATAGTAAAGACAAAAAAGGATATGCATACATAGGAAAAGGACATTTTTCTCACCAACATTAGAAAGACCTGAGATGCCTAAGTGTCTGTTCTAGGAACACTGAACTGAGGAAAATGTATGCAGGCAGCAGGCCTGGGGGCTGGCTTCTGGCATGGGTCTGGGGCCTGCAGAAGCTGCTGGCATGCTAACCCTGCCCAGGAAAAGCTATAATAGTGTTGGAACAAAGGGTCACACTTTGGATAGGTGCTGCTGGTACCAAATGTAAGTTTAGTTCCATTCAGGGCCCTGGGGAACCAGCACTGCTACTGAACTACTCCTCCTGCAGACAAAGAAACCTCCACCATCCCAAAGTGCCGGTCATAGGAGAGGGTATTGGGGAATCACTCCTTAGGTTAGCCTGGGCCTGCTGCATAAGCCCCCCAGCTGTGGGTAGTCACACCTTTCCCACTCTCAGTGAATATGTAACTGGGTCAGGGTTAGTCACTGAAGTCTTTGTCTTATCACATGCCTCCGTCTCCAGGAGCACGGGTGCCCAAGGAGGAGGGTGGGAGGGATTTTTGTGCTCCTTGAAAGGATAAGCAGTTCATAAACAACTCCTCTGGACCTCTGTTTATTAAAATTAAAGTTAGTCTACAAGTTAGGGCCTGGCAATTAGCATTCAGTCTGCTTCACTGAGTTCATACACTGTGCCCCCGGAGCACCGCAGAAAAAACATCTGACTGAGTCAGGACCCGGAGATACCGGTAGGTACCCCAAGGGGGAAGCCCCAAACGTGCTCCAGGGAGCCTGTCCACTAACTTGCAGGAGAAAAAAAGAGAAGAAATCTGTTAACTTTGCTCTCAGTTCTGGAGGTAAAGTGCTTACTCTAGCGCAGGGGAAATCTAGAAACAAATGTGGGCAACCCCTAAAAGTGGATCCTTAAGTAGGTGCTAAGACTAAAGGACAATAATAAAAAACAAACTTCGGTTCCTTCAAGAGGGAGCCGACCCCAGCCGGGAGGTGGCCAGGCACAAGGCAGTGGTGTGCCATCTTCCTACAGCATCCTCTGGATCTCCTCAAAGTTCATCAGGTTGTTGGCTGTGTCAGACCAGGCAGCATGCTGGGCTCCATCCATCTCAGAAGCAAGCTGATTGCTCCTTTCCAGAGTATGATTTATGCCCCCAATCACCTCCTTACAGTCAGGACATGTGCCCCTCTGCATGGCTCCCCCGCAATCGCTAATCACGTAGATGTGGCCATTGGGGCACTTGAACCAGTGGCCACGAGGAAAACCCATAGCATTGACTATCTGCACTCGTTCTTCCTCTGAGATGCCCAGGCCAGAGCAGGGAAGGGTGTTTTTCAGAGCTTCCATCTTTTTCTGCACAAGCTGTTCATCCTCCTGGGTGAACTTACATGTTTTCTCAAGGATCTTCCGGACACTGTAGACCTCTTCTGCTGTGCTACCTTTCATCTTCCCCTCTGCTATCTTGCAGCGGGACAGGAGGTTCACCAGGTACGTGAGCCTCTGGATTTCACTTTGGAGGTCATCCAGCTCCTGGCTGGTAAAGCTCAAACGCTTCTTGGCTAGCCACTCATGGACCTGTTCTAGTCGAATCCCCACTTTCTCTCGCTCTGAGACCTTCACCTTTTTCAGAGAATCCCACAGGCCCGCCAAGTGGTCATAGAAGCTGATGTAGTTCTCAACAAGGCCCAGGTCCTTCACGGACAGATTTTTCTGGTCTAGCTTCTCCTTCAACATCACAAAGTCTTCAGGAAGCTGCTGATGGAGGAGGCTCTTGCTCTCTAGCAGGGCCTTAAGTTGTTCCTGGCTGGCTGCAATCTCCCCTGCGGAGCCCTGAATCTTTTCCTTGACGATTTCAATCTCTTCCAGTCGCTGTTTGATGCTGGTTCCGTACCGGAGGTTTTTACGGATGGGCACCTGGCAGATAGGGCACACCTTCAACCTGATGGCAACTTCGTCGTCCTTCTGCTCATCCATGTAGCGGTCCAGGGCTTGCACCTCAAAGATGTGGCTGCAGTCCTCTAGCTGCACAAAGCGGGCGTCGGGCTCATCCTCAAAGCCAAAGAAGATCTGGGTGACTTCCTCCTGGTGGCAGACACGGCACTTCTTGGGGCATGGCTCCCCACACAGACCAATGCAGGGGTGGCCACAAGCCAGCAGCTTGGTACAAGGCACGTAGCATGGGGGCCGGTTGCAGGGCTCAGAGCAGAGTCTGGTGCACTGGTAATGCTGGCAGCGCCAGACACAGGGTTCCACGCAGGGGCTGCACAGCTCCCCACACTTCCTCTTGCACTGGCTGTGGACACAGCGGTTCTGGCAGGTCCGCTGGCAGGGCGGGCACTCGCCGAGGCACGGCTCCTGGCACTTGTGTGAGCAGATGAGCAGGCGCTTGCAGGGCTGCTGACAGCGCTCGTGGAAGCGCCCTTCGAAGCAGCTGTGGCAGGAGCCGGGACAAGGATGCCCGCAGTCCAAGACGGCACCACACTTGGTGGTGCACTTGACTGGCAGGTCATACATGAGGTCTTGCACGTTACCACACTTCACCCGCTGGCTGTGCCCACACTTGAGTTTCACGGTGACCATTTCCGAACATAAACGCACACAGTCCTCACCGCAGGGGTGGCTGCACCTGTGCCCACATTTCAGAACCTTGGGGCAAGGCTCTTGGCAGCAAAAATCTGACTCAGGCATGGAACAAGGAACCATCTGTTCGTGGCCGCACCGAAGAATGATTTTGCGCACCTTCACCTGACAAGGCTGACACTCCTGGAAGCAAACCAGAGGGCACCGGTGCCCGTCCTGGCACATGACCTTCTGGCACGGCTTCATGCACTGGAACTCCTTGTGTGAGCAATCATAGGGGTGACAGGCACGGGTGCAGACGTGCCCACAGCCGAGCCGGAACTCACAGGGTAGGCTGCAGCCTCCTTCGGGCACTTTTTGGAAATCAGAAGCTTTGGATACTAAAGTGTGGGTATCGGGATGGTTCTGGCAGCATAGCCGGAGCGTGCGGCCTATTTGATTGTTCTCTCGAAGAGTATGGATGATCTTGCTCCACAAGGGCACCTTGGCCAGCATCTGCATGTTTCCAATGCAGTACATCCCCTTCTTGGCACGGGACAAGGCCACACAGATGCGGTTGGATATCTGGAGAAAACCCACCTTGCCTTCCTCGTTGCTCCGCACTAATGAGAGGAGGATGATGTCATTTTCTTCTCCTTGGTATTTGTCAACCACATGGACCTTGACGCCAGCAAATGTCTTGGCTGGCATGAGTTTGCGCAGGCAGAAGAGCTGCCCGGTGTAGGTGGTGAGGATGGTGATCTGGGAGGGCAGGTACTCCTGACACAGGAAGTACTTGCACAGTTCCACCACGAAGCGAGCCTCATGCTGGTTCTGGTGGCTTTTGCCTTCTTGGATTTCCTGTTCAGGAAAGTTGTGTTCCACAAAGAAAAGGTTGGAAGAGACCCCCTAGAAAGGAAAAGAAGTGATATGTTAGGAGGTTCACTCATGCAATTTCTTCTGTCTTCACGTGTATTGGCCACTGGCCCTATTCCAGGGAGAGACCTTGCAAGGCTTTTTGTATACTTTGTACCAAGATCTTTAATTTTGGAGTCAATCACCATGTACTTTCTTTTGGGACCATGGCAAGTAGGGAAATGGATAAAGAATTCGTCTATTTCAGTTTTCAATACATTTGTTTGATATAAATATTTAAAACAGCCATCCACAATCCAACTATTATAGTCCAGGAAATAGGCAGCAGCTATGATGATGAAGATGTTGAGGGACCAGCTAACTTACAAGCACTCCACCGTGCTGACT